TTTTTTTTGGGCGGTTGTGGGGCCTGAACTCTGGGTGCTGTCCCTCAGCTCTTCAGCTCAAGGCTAGTGCTCTACCACTTGAACCACAGCGCCACTTCCGGCTTTTTCTGCATATGTGGTGCTGAGGAATCGAACCCAGGGCCTTGTGCATGCAAGGCAAGCCCTCTACCACTGAGCCACCTTCCCAGCCCTGTTCAATTTATTTGAGGACTCTCCAAACAGCCTTCCAGAGTGGTTATAAATTTACATTTCCACTAGAAGTGTAACAGGACTCCTTTTCCCAAACATAATAAAGGCTATATATATAACAGTCTCACAGCTATTATCATACTAAATGGTGAAAACCTCAAAACTAAAACCAATTCCTCTAAAATAAGGGAGACAAGAATGTCTATCCTCTCCACTCTTTTTCAGTATTATTCTGGAATTCCTAGCCAGAGCAATAAGGCAAGAAAAAGACATAAAAGGGATTCAAAGTTGGGCCCCAGTGGCTCATACCTGTATTCCTAACCACTCACTCAGAAGACTGAGATCTGAAGATCACGGTTTGAAGCCAGCTGGGGCAGGAAAGCCTGTGTGACTGATCACAAAAATGCCAGAAATCGGAAGTGACGCTGTGGCTCACGTAGTAGAGCGCTAGCCTTAAGCTGAAGAGCTAAGAGACAGCGCCCAGAGTTCAAGCCCCACAATCGACCCCCCCCAAAAAAAGCCAGAAATGGAGCTGTGACACAAGTGGTAGAGTGCTAGCCTTAAGCAAAAGAAGCTCAGGGACAGTGTCCAGGCCCTGAGTTCAAGCCCCAACACCAGCACAAAAGAAAAAGAAAAACCACCTCAAACTATCCCTATTTGCAACTGACAGCAAAGGACATAAAGGACATAGTTACTAAACTAAAAAAGATATCCTGAGCCAGACACCAGTGGCTCATGCCTGTAATCCTAGTTAGTCAGCAGGTTGAGATCTGAGTATTACGGTTCAAAGCCAGCATACAGAAAAGTCCTTGAGACTCTCACTTCCAATTAATCATCAAAAAGCCAAAAGTAGAGGGGTGAATCTTTTGGTAGACTACCAGCCTTGAGCAAAAAAGCTCAGGGACAATACTCAGGGCCATTAGGTCAAGCCCTAGGAAGGAGACACAAACCACAGACAGACAGACACACAAAAGACATCCTACAGAGTGGGAGATCTTTACCAGCTATGTTCATCTAACAAGGTTCTAATATCCAGAATATACAAGGAGCTCAAGAAATTAAATCTCCCCCAAATCAATAACCCAACTTAAATAGGCAAAGGAGCTAAAGAGAGACTCCTCAGAAGAAAGGCCAATAAGCACAAAAGGAAATGCTCGATGTTCCTGGTCATAAAGGAAATGCAAATCTAAAAAGCTTGGCCAACATTGAGAATGGGAACAACAAATATCAGAGACATAAAAGAGAAAAAGGAATCCTATTACTAGTACTGCTGGTGAGAATGTAATCTAGCATAACCATTTTGGAAGGGGGTTTCCCTTTGGGCTGGGAATGTGGTTCAGTGGTAGAGCGCTTGCCTAGCATTCACGAAGCCTTGGGTTTGATTCCTCAGTACCATATAAACAAAAAAAGCTAAGTGGTGCTGTGGCTCAAGTAGTAGGTAGAGTGCTAGCTTTGAGCAAAAGAAGCTCACGGACAGAGCCCAGGCCCTAAGTTCAAAGCCGCAGGACTGGCCAAAAATAAAGGACAAATTGTTCCTTGGGAGAGTCCCTTGACTCCATTCTAAGGACCCGAAAGCAAAAATACCTACAACTTCTAGTTTGTCTATGTATTGTATTTGTTTTAACATGACTTCCATAGTCCCTCTAAAGGTCTTAAAAAAAAGGGCAATAAATGGTATAAACTCATGACTAACAGGTCTATCTAGAATACTAAAAATTAATATACTTGATTGCAGGTTTTTTTTTTTTTTGCGGGGGGTCCAGTCATGGGGCCTGAACTCTGTCCCTCAGCTCTTCAGCTCAAGGCTAGCGCTCTACCACTTGAGCCACAGTGCCACTTCCGGCTTTTTTCTTTTTGCTTATGATGATTTTCATTTTTGAGCTCAATTTTAATGCATGTTTTACAGGTCCAAACTAAAGCTTACAGTTGTGTGCCAATGTCTAATGCTAAACAGGAGACTAAGGTCTGAGTATATGGTTTGAAGCCAGCTGGGCCAAGAAAGTGTGTGAGACTCTTCAATTAATGACAGAAAAAGCCAGAAGTGAAGGTGTGGCTCAAGTGGCAGAGCACTGCTAGCCTTGAACAAAAAAGCTCAGAGATAGCACACAGGTTCACAGCTCAAGCTCCAAAACCAGTGCAAAAACAAAACAAAACAAAGCCTATCTAAAGGTTTTTCTAAGGTCAAGGTTAATGCATTTGCACTCAGCTCTCTGTGACTATGGAAATAACTGCTTGTGTGCTACTGTGCTTGTCAATCTTAGAATATTGAACAGTATCTAAGTCACAGTTCATTTAAGTGAAATAGTCGCCTTGGACTGGGAATGTGGCCTAGTGGTAGAGTGCTTGCCTAGCATGCATGAACCCCTGGGTTTGATTCCTAAGTACCACATAAACAGAAAAAAACAGAAGTGGTGGGGCTGGGAAGGTGGCTCAGTGGTAGAGCACTTGCCTTGCATGCATGAGGCCCTGGGTTCGATTCCTCAGCACCACGTAAGAAAAAAAGCCGAAGTGGTGCTGTGGCTCAAGTGATAGAGTGCTAGCCTTGAGCTGAAGAGCTGAGGGACAGCACCCAGGCCCAGAGTTCAGGCCCCACAAACGGACCCAAAAAAACAACAAAAAAAAAAACAGAAGTGGTGCTGTGATTCTAGTGGTGGAGTGCTAGCCTTGAGCAAAAAATAAGCTCAAAGACAGTGCCCAAGCCCTGAGTTCAAGTGGCAGGACTGGCCAAAAAAAAGAAAAGAAATAGTCGCCTTGTAAATGAGTATGTAAAAATGTAATTTTTAATGTTAATTGTTGCTACATATCTGTTCCAAGCATATAAGTCTTCTGGGATACATAATGAAGGAAGACACTATGCCAAGCAAATACCCTCTCAACTAATATTATACCAAGCAGACTTACGTGCCTGTGCTCCTAATGGTAAGGAGAAAAGCTTAATAGTACTAACAATGCTGTCAATTTTAACATCCTACATGCCATATGCACTATAAATACCTGATTGTAATCAGAGTAAGTCTCCAGCTTTGAGTAGAGGCTCCTCTCCACAGATTTTTCCCCCCAATAAACCTGTGGTAGTGTTGAATCTTCTATTTTCTATGCCTTTTTGAACTTAACACACACTACAGAAGAAAATATGTTAGCCAAGGAAGACTCTTTTTTGGGGGGTGGAGAGTGCGGGAGGGGGAGGTGATGTCAGTCTCATGGGGCTTGAACTCAGGGCTGGGCACTCTCAGAGCTTTTTTGGTCAAGGCTAGCACCCAACCACTTTGAGCCACAGTTCCACTTCTGGCTTTCAAGTGGTTAATCGGAGACAAAGAGTCTCATGGCCTTTCCTGCTCCAGCTGGCTTAGAACCAGCTAAGATCCTCAGACTTCAGCCTCCTAGGTACCCAGGATTACAGTTGTGAGCCACCGGCAATCTGGAAGACTTTTAAGAGTAAGTTTTCAGTTTTCAGCCACTGGCGGCTGGCCTGCTATTTTTGATTCTGGAGATGGAATTCAGGCCCTTGAATATGTTAAGCAGTTGCTCAACCCCTAGATCAAGTTAAATTCAAAAGTCCCCGTCCCCCCAAAAAAAACCCAAACAATTAAAAGGCTGGAGTTATAGCTCAGCTATGGAACACCTGGCCTCATAAGCACAAAGCCTTGAGTTCAAATCCCAGTACCAAATTTTAAAAAGTCAGTATTACAAGCATGAAAAGTCGTATCACAACCAAAAAATAGGTGAGATTTTGTTGTTGGTCATGGGGCTTGAACTCTGGGCCTGGGTGCTGTCCCTCAGCTCTTCAGCTCCAGGCTAGCGCTCTACCACTTGAGCCAATACTCCACTTAAGGTTTTCTGAGTAGCTTATTGGAGAATCTCTCAGCCTTTCGTTGCCCAGGCTGGCTTTGAACTACGATCCTCAGATCTCAGCCAGGATCCTGAGTAGGTAGGATTACTAGAGTGAGCCACCACTCCCAACTAACTAGTTAAGAGTTTTTAACAGGTACTTTGGGACAGAAGATATCATATGGCCAACAAAAGCACGACCTTATCAATAACTCCGAAAATTTAAGCCCTCTAGAACAGTTAAAATTAAAGAAAAAAAACAAAGTAATGGCAGGTGTGTGCAACAAACTACTCCACAGCTCCGCTGGAATGAAACCCCAAACAAGCAGCACCTGGTAGTATTTCGAATTCAAGGCCAGTTTGGGCTACACAGGGACACCGTCAAAAGACAAGCATTAGGAAAACAAACAAAAACCAACAAGAGGCAAAGCCGGTTGCTGCTGTTAGAATTCGGTAGTGACTTTACCATTGGGAAAGGAGAAAAGATTAGCCAACGGGGGCTCCTGGGGTGCTGACAACATTGCATTTCTTTCCTGCGTGGAGAGCACACAGACACACGTCTTTTTAAGGTAATTTTCGGAGCCCTTACACTTGTAATGATGCACGTCACACTCCACACATTTATTGAGAGTAAGGCTGTGGGCCCGGCCCGCCTGCTCCTCCCAATCCCCCCGCCTCCGCCAACTGGGGTTACAGGCTTGGGCCGCACGACTGACCCCCTTCAGAACTGTCTCCCCCGATAACTGGCACCAAGCAACACCAGCTTCCCCCG